TATATGGTTGATTTTTTAAGTTTATCCCGATTATCTCATGTTAGTTTCTTCTTTCCATTTGAAAAGTTTTAATTCAATTTAAACTCAATCAACTTGAATTAATGAATTTAGTTAGTTAATTGAAAAATTTTTTCTAGTTATTATCCTTATTTGATGTTCATTATTTTGTATATATTAATTAAATTATTTGCCTATAAGATTTACATTTATCAATCATTATTGAATCTCCAACTTTAAAAAGCCTTATTCATTCTCTTCATCTTCTGAATTGAATCCTCTTAAATAATGATCATAGCAATCTTTGTATTTTCTTTTAATGTATATGGTGAAAGCTTTTTTAACTGTCATTCGTTTATGAATATGTTTGGTAGATAAGCTGTAATCGTGTTTGATTTGGTTAGCCAATCAGGAGTGGCCAAATGAGAAGGTCACTTAATGACCTTAAGAAATATTCTAAAGAATGGATGTATATCATTGGTTGAGAAATGACTACTATGTTGACTGTCAGATTCTATGGTAGTGTTTTTACCAGAGAAGTAGTACATTACAAACTTTATACAAGCTGTCTACTCGAACATCACTAGTCTAATGAGAACTTATGGTGAAATGTCATCGGAATTGATTCCTTCAAGTGGTGTTCTTCAGGGATGTCCAATCTCCCCATTTTTGTTCAACTTTGTCAGAGATATACTTTTAGACATAACATTATCTTCGTCTGACTTTTCAGGAGTGGACCTTTTACAAGGAGACTCATTTGTTGACTTTGAATATGCCGATGACATAGTTCGATTTGGTGAAGACGCTGACAAAATACAAAGTCTTCTGACTGCCCTAGGTAACAATGCAAGCATGGTCAGGATACGGTTTTCACCCTCGAAATGCAAAATGTTGCTTCAGGATTGGGTTGCATCGGCACCTGAACTAGTGATAGGGAGTAAAGTAGTTGAACGTGTAAACCGCTTCACTTACCTTGGGAGTCTCTCTCATCAGTGCCAATGGCCTGGTGTGTGACGAAATGTCAAAGCGGATACAGAAGGCTCAATTGGCTTTTGCCAACCGATGGTTAGAGACCTTGAATGACATGGCTCAACATTGTTTGCAATGGCGCGGGTACATTCACTTTTTGTGTTCTCTCAAATTCTAATCTTCTAAATTCCTCATGACCGTTTTTCTCTATTTTTTTTAAAATCTGGGGTATATACATCTCGAATGATATATTCAATCATTAATCTCTTTGATTACCGCTAATACATCTACTTACTCTGTTACTTTGGGATTTAAATTGACAATTTCGTCTCTGTGAGAATGTGGTATGGCAACTTGAACTGATGTACGTAAGTACGAAGTTCAACGTTGTAACTGACTGATGTATAATGATTTGGTACCCATCTAATAGGCTTTCTATTTCATTCTTGCCTTCTTACTCAAATAGTAGTCAGTGAGAGCAGTTAGCCCATATCACATTCAGATCTGAGACGCCACAATTCATAACAGAGTTCTTGCGTTGTTTGCTTTTCTGTCCATGAATTTCACTATTATGAGATTTTAAAGAATAAGAGGTATGAGATTAAATCGGATGACTCAATTTTACAAAATAATGCTTTTTAAATTGTTCACAGGATTTTATGTTTCCCGAAATTCTATTCATCATTGAGTGATTTGAAAGGTTCATCCTTTAACTACGTAATTAACTGTTATTTTTGTTATGTAAAAGGCGAAGATATCATTTTTTTAGAAGTCCATAGTGCATATAAGAAGAATAATAAATAACATACAGCGTTCAAAAATTAAAGTTAATTATACTGACAACATCTAATCTATTTTGATCATAAGTTCATGGGACAATTTCGTTTGATCATAATGAAATATTCAAAGAATGATTATTATAGATTAGACAGAATAAAAGCTAACAAACATTTTGATAAGTTCGTCACTTAGTATGCTTGAAGCTATTACGACGAGTTCACCTTAGTCGATAAACGCGAACGAGACAATGAACTAACGTCCAGATAGGCTACCTTGAATCCCAAGCTGAAGATAAAAGGCTTTGTAAGCGTAGAAAGGTATATTCTACAAACACCCAGCAATCACACAATACAATCAAGCAACACACAACTCTCGTTTATTTATACAACATAGGAACGTCCTTGAGACAGTTAAGAAAATAGTACACTAAAATACACAGCAACCAATCACAGCCATGGATTTTCCTGGGGTGGGAATAGGGAAATCTCAAGGTCAACTGATCAGCCCATGCTCGCGCAAACGTGAAAATCGAAATAAGGGGCATTATCAAGCGAATTTTGGGGATCTAGCATCCCCGACACATTTAATATAAGGTTTTATAAAAAAAAAATAATAATCATGTGAGTTCAACAGGGTGCTTAGTGCATTTGGTGAATAGTTGTTCCAAAAAGTGAACAACAGTTTGACATTGAAGTAAATCAAACTAAAATCTGTTAAAGAAGAAATATTAACCACATTTCATTTATTTGTAACCATGAATAGACCAATGTTAGACCACCATTAGAAACCTGGAAGCACTAGACGGCCGTTTCGTCCTGGTATGAGATTCATCAGCAGTGCGCATCCACGTTTCTAATGGTGGTCTAACATTGATCGATTCATGGTTACAAATAAAACTTAACAATCTTCACAACAACCCAGCAATACATTTCATTTAAGCAAAAAGAGAACAGAACAGAACAAAAGTCTTTGAGGTATACGTGTACGTACAGTATACTGCTCTGTTCCAGGGAAATATGAATGTAATGCATTAGTTTTTCAGATCCTAGTGTTTATCATGATAATGCGAGAATATGATGATAGTGTTTCTCCTGCGGGATACTACGATAATACGGTATTATGATAAAATGATTTGGGTTGATCAAGTGGATTGGACACCGAACAGTACACTACATAAAGACTAAACCACGTCATACCAGATATCCAACGTACGATCAAAATGTAGAATCGGAATAAAGCTTGACAATGCTTTATTTGTACATAATTATAAACAGTCACTCTCAATGGGTTCGTTGTAGAAATTAATAAGTAAAAATGGAAACCATTTATTTACTAGTCAGTAGGTTAAGTGCCTGTTTGTTCATTTACTTTACTTACTTACTTACTTACTTACTTACTTACTTACCTACCTACGCTTGTTACCCGTCAGGAAACATAGCCAGCAGACCAGCATTCTCCAAACTACTCTATCTTGAGTCTTTTTTTCCCTAGTTCTATCCAACTTATGTTCATTTTTTTGGCTTTCTCCTTCCAATTTCTCTGCTTCATGTGTTCTTTCCTCTTCCACTTTTCCTTTAATCCTGAGGATCCTAAGTTAGGGCTTACCTTGTGACACAGTTGAGTGATTTCCGTAATATGTATCTTCGATGATGACTAATCCCACTGTATGTTTACTCCTTACACATTATCATAAGATTCGTTCTAGAGGAGAGTCAGTCAGTCAGTCCGAAGCAACGTAGAACTTCATGCGTAAGTACATCAGTTCATGTCGCCATACCACATCAGCACGGAGATGTAATTATCAATTCAAATCCAATAGTAGAAGAGGAAGTAAAGGTTTTAGGAGTAATCGGAGAGGTTAGGATTAGAAGATATTATTCAAGAAAAGAAAAGTTTAGAAAGTCAAAACTAGAGGTGTTGAAGAATCCAGAAGATTAGGATTTGAGAGAACATAAAGAATAAATGCACCGGCGCCATTGCGAACGATTTTGAGCCATATCATTCAAGGTCTCTAACCATCGATTATTATCATCTCGTGGACCCCAACCAGATAGTCGACAATTACCGACATGGCTAAGTCCACTAGTCAATGACTTCATGGATTTCTGCCATGTTTTGGTCTGACCGCCCCTAGCTTTCTTCCAATCTATTTCATCTATTGATCTTCCATCCTTACCTAGTACTCGTTTCCTAACGATAGCATTGCTTACTTGGTTGTCCCACGGTATACGAGCAATGCTTCGAAGACACCTATGATCGAAAACCAGTAACCGACGAATATCTTCTACTCTCACTGGCCATGTTTCACAGCTATATAGGAGAACGGAGGAGAGAAGATATTTATTAAACCAAGATCACTAGTAGAAATGTCGCCTAGACTGTGTGATTCAACAATTTTTTTTATGCTTTTTCTAAACTAAGACTTCTTTCATTGACGTAGATATGTGGGGATCTTGCATCGTTTATTCTGACTCTCATTAATAATATTATGAAATATTATATCCCCAAGTTTAGTTTCATTTAACAATGCTTCGGCTATCCCCATTGTTCAACAATAGTACTTCAAAATATATGTATGGAAGATCATGCCTTGATATAACATGAAGATATGATATAAAGAATAAAAGTTTTTGAAATCATGAATCAGTCATTGTTGTTAGACCACCATTAGAAACTTGGAAACACTTGTGGGGGTTGCAAAGTTTAAACGCCCAAATGTATTCCTAAGCAGAAGGTAGGATATAAGATATCGATATTTATTGATAGGAGGTCGCATGATATCAAAATAATATCAACCAGTAAAATAACATTGGCACGAAACGATCAATAAGTCCACAGGGTTGGCGTGGTTGGCGTTCGAATATTAACTTCAAGTACAGATAAACAATAGGTGTACAATAAAACAATTATTGTTACATATGTTCAATAATAAGTATTTATATGTCAGTTAATCACGTTTTCTTCACAAAGTAGTTCCACTACACACTGAACAGCTGTCTCATCCTAGTATGGGACTCATCAGCAGCATGCATCCTCGTGCTTTCAGGTTTCTAATGGTGGTATAACAATGTATATTTATTTCATTGAGAGTTTTCAATATGAATACGATTCAATGAAATAGTCAGTGTATTTTCGAGTGCCACTCACTAATACTCTCACACACACACACGCACACACGTTGTGTATGAATACTATTTATTGATTTGTATGTGTGCTTATTCATTCATCCAAATCTTTTTGTCATTTCATTAAAGTGAATTTTCCAAAGAACGTGAAAAAGCTAAAAAACGTGGTAAATACCAAAAAGCTAGAGAACAAATGCAATTTGAAGAAGATGTCCAAGGTTATTTGGATTGGATTAGTGCCGCTGAAGATATTAGTGATGATGAAGAGACAACAAATAAAGAAGATGAAAAAGAGAAAAGTAATTTTAAATTTTTGATGATGAGTTGGTTGGTATTTTGATTTTGATTTTTTTTTCTACTGAATGTGAAGTACATATTATCTATCCTACATTCTGTTTTATATATGTATATATGTTGTTGTGTGCTACTTATACGAACGATATAAGTAGTAGTATAAGAAGGGATGTGAAAGGAGAAGAATTCGCACAGTCAGAAGAGGAAAAAACGGAAAGCAAATTGAGCAAAAGCAAGAGATAATTAGAGTACCAACAGGAAGTAAAAGAAGTAACAACAGGAATGGAAGAAGGATGGAGCGTTGGAAGTCATGACTCAAAGATGGTGTGCAAATAGAGTAGTGTTCAATGTAATGTTGTCGTTTTTAATTGACTCAGAGTGTAAATTTGCATAGCACATTCTTCGGCGCCTGCCTCAGTCTCTTTATATAATCCGATTGACTTACATTTCGTATTCCATCAATAATGGATTACAAAGTGACTTTGATTACATATGCTTCAAATCAAGGTAGACAAGCTCGAATTTCTTCATCACGTATGACTTGCAGCTTGTTCTGTTGACATATAGATCTAGGTGACTTGTTCCTGAAGTTTTTGGGTCTGCGAGATGTAAGTCACCAATGGTTAGAGACCTTGAATGACATGGCGCAAGAGCACGCACTCGCTGCGTTCCCTCAAATTCTAACCTTCTGAATTCCTTATCATCTCTATCTTTCTCTTTCTAAAGATATCTGTCTCACTGAATTATAATACTTCTCGAATCATATCTTCAAAACCTAATCTTCTTGATTACCAGTAATACTTCTACTATCTCCATTGCTATAGGATTTGAACTGACAGTTGCATCTCTGTGTTAACGTGGTATGGCAGCCTGAGCTGGTGGTGTACAAAGTTCTGTGTTTTATCTGTCTGTCCTTATGAAGTTTTTGTGCTGATCATGTTGTTCAGCAGAAAGAAAAAACCAATGAAAGCTCCCCTCCCCCAACGAAAACACACTACAATCATTCACCTGAACGAACTATAAACATTTTCTCAAATCATTTTAAAGTTGACAAACATTCATCATCTTCTATCTAATCAAAATATGAAGTTAGGCAAGCAGATCACATATACAAGACTAGCTGTCCAGAAGTTAGAATAAATCTCTCATAGATTTGTCTGTCATAAAACAGAAGTTGCTACATTCATTCATTATCTTCTTATGAATAAATAAAAGACTCAACTCCAACATTTAAACAATCACTGTCACATGACATGCATAGTGATACATACAGTTTACCAAAAACAATATCCGTAAATAAAACATCATAATTAATGTTATTAATTGTCATATATTTTTTTTTGTTCAGTCAAACATCCGTCCCTGTGAGCATAGAGAAACAAAGGAAAGAGAGGGACTACTTCAATAGTAGAATAAATATAATTGATGATTGTCCTTTTTTCACATTGTTTTACTGTTTAGAGGAAAATTATTTGAAAATTTGAATATTGTTTGCAGTTTTCTGAAATAAACACAAAACAGATCTTATTCATTCACTGTTCACGCTTATTATTCATTTCTACCCCATCATTTGTCAATATACCTAGAAACACTTGATGGCTGTCTCGTCCTAGTTACGGGAGGACTCTTCAGTAGTGCACCTACACGACACCTTACTCAAGGGGAATCGAACTCAGTACCTTTTGTTTGCACACACTGGGATACTTAGGTTCCAGACCACCTGGCTGGCCGGTATCCAACGGTGTTAATGTTAAACTTCATTTATTATTCCACCATAGTGCACAACTTCATTCATTGTTTTCGATGAGCACCGCTTCACACCTGATACGACTAAACTCCATTGGTCACAAAGTCACACAAGAAAGGTGGTTCTTACCACTTAGAATGGCTTAAAATTGATCGATTCATGATTTCAGTGTAACTTAACAATCTTCATTACCTCATAGGGAAAATAAATAGGTTGTTAGAGAAGGCTGTAAATTAATGAAATGAATTATTTTCAATCATATCCTTATTTTAGTTAAGCCCTTTCTTATTGGTTAGCGTTTTTTTTTAGCGGGCGGAGTTGCTAACTCCATTTCCAACCTACTGTTATACTCGATTCGAAGTATGCTTAAGCCATTACGTATTCAGCTTAGTCGAATAACGAGAACAAAACAATGAACCAGCGTCCAGGTTGGCTACTGTGATCTTTTGACCGAATTTTATCAGCGAAAAGTATTGATATAGCGTAGAAAGTGTAATCTACAGACACTCAACCAGCACACAAATCGCCTTTATTTATACACCATAGAGACGTCCTTGGGATAGTCACTAAATAGCATACTGAAATGACACAGTAACCAATCACAGCCAAGGATTTTCCTGGTGGGAAATGTGATCTCAAGATCAACTGATAATCGGTCTATGAAATAAATCCAAAATAAAGATATTTATCAAGTGCGAATTCTAAGAGGGATCTAACATCCCTTAACACCTTCCTCCTGCTTTACTCTGGCTCAGAACCGTAGAGGAGGGCTCGAGGCGGAGTTTAGTTAAGTTCTGGAGATCATTAATTTATGATATATTCTAGTCAACTTTTTTTCTAAATCCTTCATTAATTTTAAATTGAATTCAATAGAATTTCGTTGGTGTGCTGCATGTCGAACCACTTCATCATCATCATCATCAGCAAATGATGACTTTGAAGAAGAAGAAGAAGACCCATCTGAGCATGGATTAGATGATGCAGGTGGCGGCGGTGGTGCTGGTGGTGGTGCAGGACATCGTAATCAATCATCATCACAACAACATCAATATTTCTTTTGTATTCCATTGAAAGGGTAAGAGTTCTTGACATAGTTAGTTGATGCACATGACTCTCATCATTTATTTTTCTGATATTTTCTAGTTTTGTTTTGAGTTTCATTCTCTAAGTTGGATATTTTGGTAGATATATGTATTTCGTTCTTGTATGTGTGGCTCATCAGCTGTGCATATTCACGAGACTCCTGTCAAGTGTGAAGCAGTGATCATGGAAGACAGTAAATAGATGAAGTTTCAAAAGACTATGGATTAGTGGCAGTTAGACATTAACGCTGTGATGTGTGCTACTTATACGAACGATATAAGTAGTAGTATAAGAAGGGACGTGAAAGAAGAAGAATCCGCACGGTCACAAGAGGAAAACGGAAAGCGAATGGAGCAAAAGCAAGAAGTAAATGGAGTACCGACAGGAATGGAAGAAGGATGGAGCGTTGGAAGTCAGGACGACTCAAAGATGGTGTGCAAACAGAGTGTATTCAATGTAATGTTTTCGTTCTTAACTGACTCAGAGTGTAAACTTGCGTAATATAGTCTTTCTCGCCTGCCTTAGTCTTTTCAACGCCACTGGGTACTGACTCAGTGTTTTAGAAGTTTAGTGTTCGCCAACGAGAACGAAGGTACTGTGGCTCGTGGATGCTTACTGCTGATGTAGTAGGTTTAACATTGATCGGTTCGTGATTTCAATGAAACTGAACACAGCTATTTAGTGTAAACAAAGCTATCTTCATTTGATTATAGATATATTTCATTTATACTGTATCATTTATTCAGTCACTAAAAAATATGATGAACCGTTGTAAAAGATTTCTAGTTCAAGTGGATACATTTATTTGTGTTGTATTCTTGTAGCGATGAACATAAACGGTTTGTTAGCATACTGTGAAATCTCTCAACTTGTAGCCTATATCGAATCCAGTTAGTTAGTCTGTTTCAACAAATCAACCTTTCGTATGGATATCTTGGAAATGACTAGTAGTATTTGAGGTACAACGAGTATTTCTTTTCACCAGAATCGATTCACGTTATTAAAAGACCATATTCAATTGCCTGTAGTGGATAAAACTATCTCATACTCGATAATAATTTAACTCCATCAATTAGATGTCATTAAAGTTAGAACATGTACAGTATTGGATGTCAGCTCAATAGTCCAGAAATCAAGCGTTCACAAACAAAACCAAAGGTCCAGAATTCCATCGTCGGTCAGATTGTGGATACACATTAATGAGATTTGCCATATCAGCAGAACTAATCAATTGTCCTGTGATTCTTGATTTCCAATAGTTATCTATATATACATACATATTTATATGTTATCTAGTCTATACTTATAATAATAATAACACTTAAGAATAATTAATTTCCATTAATTTTTTTTAGAAGACGATCACGACGTTGGAATCGTCGTTGTCGACGTTCATGTCGACGACTTGTTAAATCACAAACATTTTATTGGATAGTTATAGTTTTGGTATTTTTAAATACTGGTGTTCTTACTTCGGAACATTATGGACAACCTTTATGGCTTGATGATTTTCAAGGTAATTTTAAAATAAATGAACAATTTACTATTCTAACACTTTGCTTTACTTACTTACTTACTTACGCCTGTTACCCACAATGGAGTATAGGCCGCCTACCAGTTTTCTCCAACCAACTCTGTCTGTCCTGGGCTTACCTCTCCAATTCTGTCCAATGTTTGTTCGTTCTTCTCATATCTTTCTCTGTTTCTCGGCGTAATGTATTCTTTGGCCTTGAGGGTTCCATGAGAGGGCTTGTCTCGTGACGCAGTTAGGTGCTTTCCGCAATGTTTGTCCTATCCACTTCCACCACGTCTTCCTGATTTCCTCTTCCACTGGAATCTGGTTTGTTTTCTCCCACAGTTCGTTGTTGCTGATGGTGTCTGGCCAACGAATCCGAAGTATTTTGCGTAGACAACTGTTCATAAACACTTGTATCTTGTGGATGATGGCTTTGGTAGTTCTTCAAGTTTCCGCTCCATACAGTAGAACTGTCTTCACATTTGTATTGAAAATCCGCCAGTAGAACCTTAGGGGCTACTGCCGGTCCCAAGCCCGGGTAAAGGAGGAGGGTTGAACATGGGGTTGGCGACCCCATTCCGTCGAAATCTCACTTGCCAAAAAACGCTAACCAGAAAAATTAATTCAAACTTTGCTTTACTTTACTTTAAATTAAGAGATTTTGTGTAAGGGTTAATTAATATTATGCATACCGATTGATAGGCTCATAAAGCTTATGATGATATATTCTGTAGAATAGAAGCTGAAATATTCAACTCAGTATATATATATATATATATATATATATATATATATATATATATATATATATATATATATATATATATATATATATATATATATTACAGTATAGCTGTCCCATTTCAGTAGTATATAACATCATGAGAATCACTCATTTTTATATATAGAATAGAAGATCTACAGTGTAAACATACTAGTAATTTTTTTTATTACATGCTCGTGGATAGTGTTTAAAATCTAATGATCCAAGTGTTCAAATGATCACAGCAGAAGAATAAGTTTTGGGATTTGAGAGAACACAAAGAATGAATGCTCTTGCGCCATTGAAAACGGTTTTGAGCCATGTCGTTCAAGGTCTCTAATCACTGATTACTATCGTCTTGCAGGCCCCAACCAGGTAGTCGACACCTACCACCAACATGACTCAGTTCACTTGTCAGTGACTTCATGGATTTGTGTCATGCTTTGATCTGGTTGCTCCTAGCTTTCTTCCAACCTATTCCTACATCGCAAAACAGCTCGACCAGGCAGTTGGCGGTTAGGCATACGTAACACATGTCCCAACCACCTCAACTGATGAAGTTTCAGCACTTCATTTATTGATTTGCCATTCTTACCTAGCATCCGATTCCTAATAACAGCGTTGCTCACTCGGTTGTCCCACGATATAGGAGTAATGCTTCTAAAACATCTATGATCGAAAACCAGCAACCTACTCTAATATCCACTACTCTTATTGGCCATATTTCGCTTCCATATAGTAGGACAGAGCGAACTGCTGTGCAGCTAACGGATATCTCGCCTTTTGCTATAAATGGCAAATACCAATCGAACCTTCTGTATCGGTGCTGAGATTTCGTCACGCACACCAGGTCATCAGCACTGATTAGACTCCCCAAAATAAGTGAAGCAAGCGGTCAATGTGCACAGGATTACTTGAAATGAATAATAAACATCTTAAGTTGATTGCTTTGAAGTTTGGAACAAGAACTAGAAGTAGTTTTACTCAAATGATTGATGCATCATAAAAACGATATGCGAATCCCATGATTTGTCCTATACCAGGACGAATCAATCATCTGTCCAATGCTTACCGGTTTCTTACTACTGATGGTCCGACAACTATGATTGTTTAATGATTTCAATCTATAAAAATTTATGTGTATATAGGTGTAGGGTTCGTCACTAAATATGCTTGAAGCTATTACGACGAGTTTACCTTAGTCGATAAACGCGAACGAGACAATGAATCAGCGTCCAAGTAGGCTACCTTGAATCCAACGGGAAGCGTAGAAAGTATATTCTACAAACATCCAGCAATCACAGTACAATCAAGCATACAACTCTCGTTTATTTATACATCATAGAAATGTCCTTGGGACAGTTACAAAAATAGCACACTAAAATACATAGCAGCCAATCACAGCCATGGAGTTTCCTGGGGTGGGAATTGAAATCTCAAGATCAACTGATCAGCCCATGCTCGCACAAACGTGAAAACCAAAATAAGGGGCATTCATCAAGCTAATTTTTAGGGATCTAACATCCCCAACAATAGGCCGTTTGCTAATGTTTACTAACTCAAATTAAAATTTGTCGGTGTTCAATAAAACTAGGCAATGTTTTTCTGAAAAAAAAAAGTTTTTACTATTGTATTATCTATCGAAATCTAATTTTTCATGAAACTACTGTTTTCCTTCCTTTTTTCATTAAAAAAAAACCTAAAATCTACCAAATGAATTAATGAGGACTATTATAAAATAATACCTGTTTTTGTTTTAAATAACAAAATACAGAGTTTTTCATGTAACAATGCATCCTATCTCATTCTAAAGTAATGTAGAGAAGACTATTGTTATATTACTGAATTATTCAAATCATGAATCAATCATTGTTAGACCAGTGCTAGAAAAAAAGAAACCTAGAAGCATTAGATACGTCGTACTGATAAAGAGTTATATGTATATACAGTAGGACAAACCTACTATCAGTCTTTCAATGCTTCCAGGTTTCTTTTTCTAATAATATGTTAGTGAATGAATAGTCTAACAATGATTTTGTAACAATCTACTTTTGTTGGGTTTTTTTTCTAGTCATCAGTATGATATACTTTATTGATTATTTTCCCATTTACCTTCTCTTTTATTTTCATGTTATTCTTTGTGTATGTGCGTGTTTTTTACTCTTTTTTCTCCTTTCTCTTCTCTTCTCTTCTCTCCTTTTTAGATATGGCCAATATTGTATTTGTCGTGTTATTTTCAATTGAAATGTTAATTAAAATGTACAGTTTAGGCATTCGTTGTTATTTTGATTTTATGTTTAATCGATTCGATTTTTTTGTGGTAATTTGTAGTATTATAGAAGTTGTATTAATACAAACTAAAGTAATGCCACCACTTGGTGTCTCTGTGCTACGTTGTGCACGTTTATTACGTGTATTCAAAGTAACAAGGTAAGATTGTTTTTATATTTGAGTTTTATATTGATATTAATACAGTATCATTTATTTATTCATGCTCTCTTGATTTACTTTCAATCTGAAAGGTATTTGGTAAAGATGGCAGATCAATCGATGAAGTTTTGTGAAAATTACAGAGTTACTCAGTAAAATCGGAAAACCATATCGTAAATTGTTCATTTGCAAAAGATCAGTCCATCATATCGGAATGGACTGTTCTTGTTGCAAAACATCAATCCATTGTCACTACTATTCATGCGTTTCATACAAATTCCATTGTGTTCTTCGAACTCTTCCTGCTTTCTTGATCTTCCCCCCTATCTTCTGCTGCCAGACATTACGTTGACGCTCACGTCATATACTACTTATAAGTAGCTCGCACCACACTACAAATGTGCAACTAACGACTGTCTCGGCTAGCGATGATGTCTGCTGTAGGAGTAGGCTGAAACAAAGCTAGGGGAAGCCAAGCCGAAACGTGACACAAATCCATGAATTAACTGACAACTAGACTGAACCATGTTAGTAGATATAGACTACCTCTTTAAAGGGTCCGCAAGATGAAATTAATCAATGATTAGAGACGTTGAATAACATGGCGATGGCGCGGGATTATCTATTATTTGTCTGCTCTTAAGCTGTAATCTTCTGAATTCCTCATCAGCTCTATCTTTCTCTTTTTAAATCTATTTCACGGTAAAACCAAAACATGACACAAATGCATGAAGTAGTCACTGACAAGTGAACTGAGTCATGTTGGTAGGTCCATGAGACAATAATAGCCGATGGTTAGAGACCTTGAATGACAAGGGCTTAGAATCATTTGCAATGGCGCAAGTGCCCCCATTCCTCATGTTCTCTCAAACTCTAATCTTTTGAATTCCTCATGACAGTTTTTGTAAATTGATTGATTCCTCTGGGATATACTCCTTGAATTATATATCTTCGGACACTAACTGTTTTAATTACCGCTAATACTTCTACTACATCTAGTTCTATGGGATTTGAATTGCTTCTTTGTGCGAATATGGTATGGCAACTTGAACTGATGTACATACGTACGAAGTTCTACGTTGTGACTGACTAAAAGACTGAAGATTATGCGGTTTAAGTAATGATCTATCAGCCAATCAGAACACGATGCTTTGGTAGAAAAACAATTCACAGCTAAAAGCAATAAAAGTATCAGCTTTGATTTGATGAACAATCAACCTTGACATATTGACTTATTCCTTGTAGTAGAAAGAAAAGGTTAACTTCAACTATTCGTAATTAGGCTTGCGTTTTTAGGTTAAAATTATCACCCCATACCGTATTCATCAACACAGGAAGATCGGAGTGTCAATTCAAATCCCATGGTATTTTAGAGATAGTAGAAGTATTAGCAGTGATGAAGAAAAATTAGTGTTCGATGATATTATTGCAGGAGTGGAATAAATTTGAGCAGAGAAAGATGAAGATGATGAGGAATTTTAGAAGATTAGAGTTTGACAGAACACATTGCAAAACATCGCTCTTCAAAGCAGTCGGTAGTTAGACCTATCCTAACCACATCAACTGGTAAACATCCACTACTTCGTCAGTTGATCTGTCATCCTCACCTAGTATCCGTTTCTTAACCTCAGCATTCATTGCTTAGACGTTGATAAATGAAATAAATCAGTTTGAATTCTACTTCTCAACTGGATATTGTTATTTCTGGATATCTAACGGTGCTAATGTCTAACTTTGATCAGTTCACAGTCTTGCGCAACCTCTAATACTGTTTTCGGTAGTTACTGTCGATACCCAAACAGGTCGAACTTCACTGGTGGTCTAACATTGATCGACTCATGATTTCAATGAGTAGCTTATCGATCTTGACAACCTGTGGTCACTAGTGACTATATGCGTGAGGAATCCTGTCCGAGTTCTAGTGAGAATTCGTGACCAGTGAAGTTCAACCTTTTCGAATATCGACAGTAATCACCGAAGAAAGTATATCAGGTTGCGCAAGACTGTGAACTGATCAAAGTTAGACATCTAATCCCATTAGATACCTGCTCAGTGGTCCAGAGGTTAGGCGTTCGTGCGCAAGATTTGAAGGTCCTGGGTTCAAATCCTGCGAGCTGCAGAACTCGTGGATGTACACTGCCATTGATGAGTCCCATACCAGGACTAAACGGCCATTCTAACACTGATTGGTTCATGATTTCAAGGAGTAATTTGTCGATTTTCACAACCCCGTAATGCAATTTCTTGATATGTAAGTGATATCTGTCTAGGTTTTTTCATCATCTCCTTTTCGTCCTCAAGATTTTTTAAGCTACTTTATTTCATTCAGTTAACAGAATATTGTTTGTTTATTACAGATTTATTTAAGCAACTCATTACCATATACATTTTCACATAAAATGAATCATTACACCTCATTTTTCCTTTATTTTTATTAGATATTGGAGTAGTTTACGTAATTTAGTTGGTTCACTGCTGGCCAGTTTAAAATCTATTGTCAGCTTATTAGTTTTATTATTTCTATTCATTGTAATTTTTGCATTACTCGGTATGCAATTATTCGGTGGAAGATTTAATTTTCCACGTGAAGAAAAGCCAAGATCAAATTTTGATAGTTTTTATCAATCATTAATTACGGTGTTTCAAGTGAGTCAGTCTGTGCGTTCTATATACTGATTGATTTTTATTTAAAACGATATTATCAATGAGTAGTATTCATTTTGCATTAGATTTTATGCTCTCGATCAATATCAGATGAGAAAAACCTGAAAAAAGTTTGATAATTAAATCAGTAATGAATGACAAACAGTGTCCAAAATCTGACTGATTATTATTTGAAAGAAGAATGGAAATGGTAGTCTGTTTGGTTACTTACTGAATAATAAACAGATATTACTTACTTTACTTACTTATGGCTGTTACCCCACAAATGGAGCATAGACCGCCTACCAGTTTTCTCCAATTAACTCTGTCTGTCCTGGGCTTCCCTTTCCAATTGTATCCAATTTTTGATCATTCTTCTCATGTCTTTCTCTATTTCACGACGTAATGTATTCATTGGCCTTCCTCTTTTCCTTTTGACTTGAGGGTTCCATGTAAGGGCTTTTCTCGTGACGCAATTAGGTGCTTTTCGTAGTGTATGTCCTATCCACTTTCACCGCTTCTTCCTGATTTCCTCTCCCACTGGAATCTAGTTTTTTAAGTAGGCACATACACACTCAAACAGAAACAGCCATGGTTACAGGTGAATGATTGACAAGGTTGAAAGACAGTGTGAATACCTCGAGCAGGATGGATTAATTAATACCTGTTCACAGGTTGAAGTTAACCCTGTGAGCTCAACATGTTTTGATACACACACTACATGTCTCATAAATTAATATGCCTTAAAACATACTCCCACACATTGGATTTCATTCGGTTCATATAAATATGGAATCATAAATGATCTCATTTTAAAAGATGAACTATTTCGACACGACATCGATACTATTACTTATTATCTATCTTTTTATTTGTAAAAAATTACAAACTACACTATTCTATATCATACAATAGGCACAGTCAACCCATAGTTTGTTTAATGATTAAAATATATTTTTATTAAATTTAAGTAAGTGTATTTTTAATGCTGAAATCATGAATCGATCATCGTTAAATCATCATTAGAAACGTAAAAGTATTGAAAGATGGCCGTTTTACCAACTTGCTATGGGACTCGTTAGCAGTGTACATCCACAGCTCCTGCTAATCGCAAGAGTCCAACCTTGTACCTTCGGTCTAAACCTCTGGATCATTGATCCAGTATCCAAAGGCGTTAATATCTAGCTACGATCAATTTCGGGATTTTGCGTGACCACACTCATTTGTCTTCATTAGTTACTGACAACACTCGACAAGGTTGAACTCCGCTGGTCCATAGGTTAAGCGTTAGCATATATTGCGGTGCGAGCTGCTTATAAGTAGTATATGACGTGAGTGTCAACGTAATGTCTGGCAGCAGAAGATGGGGGAATATCAAAAAAGGAAGAGTTAGAAGAACACATTGGAATTTGTATGAAACACATGAATAGTGACAATGGATTGATGTATTGCAACAGGAACAGTCTAGTTCGATATGATGGACTGATCTTTTGCAAACTAACGATTTACGATATGGTTTTCCGATTTCTACTGAGTATCTCTGTAATTTTAAACATTATCATTATTTATCTGTGAAGAGCAACAAACTACATCATCCTGTATAATAAAACAGCGTCAATCAATGACGGATGAAATTATTGAATTTCGAAAGTATTTTCTATAAAATTTAATTTAATTTCTCGTCAACATTTTAATGAGTAGTCGAACGTATAGACCACTTCACGTATCTGGGGAGTCTCATCAGTGCTGATGGCCTGGTGACTGATTAAATCTCAGCTCAGATACAGCAGGCTCGACTGGCTTTTGCCAACCTGCGTCACCTATGGCGAAGGCGAGATATCCGCTCTCTAACCAAAGGACGAGTTTACTGTGCAGCACTTCGCTCCGTCCTACTATACGGATACGAAACATGGCCGTTCAGAGTAGAGGACTTACGTGGGTTTCTAGTCTTCGATCATCGATGTCTCCGAAGCATTGCTCGTGTATCCTGAGACAACCGAGTAAGCAATGCTGTCGTTAGGAAACGAGTTCTAGGTAAGGATGGCAAATCAATAGATGAAGTAGTGAAACTTCATCAGTTGAGGTGGTTGGGACATGTGTTACATATGCCTAACCACCGACTGCGGCAACGAGCTATGTTTTGTGGTGTAGGAGTAGGTTGGAAGAAAGTTAGGGGTGGCCAAACCAAAACATGGCAGAAATCCATGAAGTCACTTACAAGTGGACTGAGTCGAGTTGTTAGATGTAAGCTACCTGGTTGGGGTCCGCGGGACTATAGTCACCAATGTTTAGAGACCTTGAACAACATGGCGCAGAATCGTTTGCAATGGCGGAAGTGCATCCTTTTCTTTGTGCTCTCTCTAATTATAACCTTCTGAATTCCTCATCATCTCTATCTTTCTCCTTCTAAATTTATCGTACTAAATTATACTTCTCGAATCATATCTTCTCTCCCTAATCTTCTCCATCAACGTTAATACTCCTACTATCTCTACCACTATGGGATTTGAATTGACGACTGCATCTCTGTGCTGATGTGGTATGGCAACACTGAACTGATGTACTTACGTACGAAGTTCTGCGTTGTATCTGTCAACATTTCAATGAATATTACAATTTTCTTCATTTTTTTTATTTTTTTCTCAAGTTCTCTCAATCTTGCTTTTTTTTCCTGTCCTCTTAATCTTGTCTGATTGATTAATTTTTCCATTAATGTTTGTATAAAATTCCATTTCCTGTTTTACTAATTTTTTTTTCGCTCATTTAGATTCTAACTAGTGAAGATTGGAACGAAGCAATGTACAATGGGATACGTTCTTATTCTAATAGTCGTGTTGGTATTATGGTCTGTTTATATTATGTCATCTTATTCATATGTGGAAATTGTATCCTCTTTTGTTGTTTTCTATTTGTCATTGGTGTAACGTTGCTTTTTTTTTATTGATCATTGATCTTCATTCTCGTTGTTTTTTTTGTATTACCAGTTCGTTTATAATCAACCATTGACAATTGAACAAATTGTATATTTGTTTATATTTACTAATATGAAGTTGTTGAAAACAAACAAACAAACATCGCTGATATCATCCATTGTAGTAGAGTACATGGATAAATTTTAAGGATGTTTAGGAATGCTAAAAAATTCATTTTTACAATCATAGATGACTGTTGAGATGGTGGAGAAAACTTGTAGCTCAGGTGGATGATTGTGGTGGTGGTGGTGTTTTGTTCTCTGAGCTGCGAATGTTTTGGTTGTGGAGCTTTCATTGTTTGTTCTTCTACTGAACAATGAACATCATCAGTAGCACAAACTTCAGATAGAAGAAGAAGTGAAGCATTCGAATTTCTCCACTTTTGACCTGTATATAGACCAAAGGACGGAATGACAAAGGAAGAAAAACCAAATATCATCTACAAAATAAATTGCTCAAACTGTGAAAAACACATTACATAGGACAAAGTGGACGACCTCTTCAGCTTCGTTTACGTGAACATCAATTAGCAGTCAAACGCCACGACAACGCTTCGCTTATATCAATACACACCGACAATTATGGACACACATTTGATCGGAACAATGTGGAAATACTGGGTAGGGGGAGGATAAAGAACAATAGAGAATTTTTAGAAGCTTGGCACTCAGGTCAATCAGCAATCAACAAAACACATCGACATTGACTCAATTTATCAATCAATCAGGAAAATCATAAGTGACACTGGATCAAGAAACAGACCAAAAGGGGGAGTCAATCAAAATATAGTTGCAAACAACGACAGGTCAAAGGTCAACAACAAAAACCAATCAAGATCGAGGTTATCAAAACAAGCTACAGGTCAAACGTGGAGAAATTCGAATGCTTCACTTCGCCTATCTGAAGTTTGTGCTGATGATGTTGTTCAGAGCAGTAGAACAATGAAAGCTCCACAACCAAAACAACCAGCTCAGAGAACGAAACACCACCACAAAAGATAGAATTTCAAGCGTTTTCAATTCATTCAGTTCATTTTTAAGTAATTGAATGTAAAATATTCAACTGTTTATTGAGTATTATGATTTATGCTCTCAAGATTGTCGACCGGAATATGGACAGTTATTTTTCATAGTACACATTCGCATTCTGTTTTAATCATTGTGTTTGTCTATAAATTTACATGCATGCACAATGATGGTAAGTTGCATACTAGGACAAAACGGTTGCCCAATACTTTCTAGTTTCTAATGATGGTCTAACACTGGTCGATTCATAAACATTATCATGTACTCATTAGTGATTAGCTGCGTGAGGTAGTTTCTCCAAGTTCTACTGAGAAGTCCTAACCAGTGGATTTCGACCCTGTTCAAGTGTGAAGCAGTGCTCACCGTTGTCAGAGCATGAGGTTGGGCGAAACCATGGATTGGTCGAAGTTAAACATTAACCCCCAATGGATGCCGCCTCAGTAGTCTAGAGTTTAAGTGTTTGCGTGGGAGACCAGAGATCCTTGGTTCAATTCCTCAGTACAGGGTGATGAATGAGCAGTGTTGATGAATCCCTTACTAGAATGATGAAACGACCATCTCTCAGTGAACAAAAGAATTTTATCCTACAATTCGTTACTAGTCTGTCCAAAACATCGCAGTACATGGATAGAAAAATTGTCAATACAAATAAAAGGGTGCTTTATAATTTTAAGGATGTTTAGTAAAATTATTCAACAGTAAATTTTAAAAAAAATAATCAAAAATAATATTCTATTATTTATATGATATTTATTATTACCAAATAAATTTGATATCCTATATACTTAAATAAATCATTTTAAGTAATAATTCAACCTAGTATTATAATCAAGTGTCTATTAATAGTGTAATTTATTATATATTTTAAGATTGTCAATTTAAATATAGACTGTTATTTTATAGAGTACATATACGTATTCAGTTTTTTAATTAATTTTGTTCATAAATTTTCATGGATACATGCAGCTGACGAGTCGCATACTAGGAGGAAACGGTTATCTAGTGCTTCTAAGTTTCTAATGATGGTCTAACATTGATTGGTTTCCTGATTTCAAGGAGTAACTTAACAATCTTCATAACTCTGTGATAAAAATTATCATGTACTGACCAGCAATTAGCTTCAAGAGGAAGTTTCTCGAGTTCTAGTGGAGTTCAACCGTGTTCGTGTGTGAAGTACTGCTCACCGAAGACAGTGGATGAGGTTGTACAAGACCGTCGATTGATCGAAGTTAGACATATTAATACCATTGCATGCTGGATTAGTAGTCGAGAGGTTAAGCTTTCGTGTACTAGGCCGAAAGTCCTAGGTTCGATTCCCCCTGAATCCGAGGTCATGGATGCGCCCTGCTGATGGTCGCCATACCAGAATAGTGAAACGGCCATCCAGCACTCTCACAGGTTTCTAATGATTGTCTTACATTGATTAATTTTATGATTTCAGTGAAACTCAACCATCTCCACAACCCTATCATCAAAAATATATTAGTTCAAGTAAATTATACTATTCTAAATGCTTCTTTATTTTCTAAAACACTGGTTCCCTTTGATAAATTTGAACAGAGAAATGAGAAGACATATTTTGTGAGATAGTACCATTTCGTGCATTCTCGTCAGTCACATACAAGCAACATGTTATTTGTGTGTAAATACAGTTTTGAAGATAAGGTCAAAATTTTTCTTATTTAGCATGACATTCACTCACTAGAACCACCATGGTAAATAAACGTCAACATACAGTTGTTTTTGGACACATAAAGTTGGACTTTTCCGACCAATCAAGATAGCTTCGAGTAGTTTCAGTGTGTGTGTGTGGGTTTTGATGACATGTCACAACTCTAAAAGCTGATTTTGGGTCAATTTGATGACCACTCATCATTAGATGTTTTGCAATGGACGAGGCTGAGTTTCTTCATCGATTTTGAGATGACGGGCTAGGTTGATGAATCATGGATTTGATTAACCATTTTGGAATATGTTCCCCTATCCTGTCTTCCAATCGGCGATCTGTCCTCCCTAAGTAACTTTCTCCACAGTTACATGTGAATTGGTAAATACAGTGGGATTTGGACTGAATCGGTCTTGGCGACTTGATTAGGGTAACTGAGATCGATTGAGTGAGTCGTGATAAGCCTCAGATTAGTTGCATTGAAGGTCTTTTTTTTATTGCAACTCCAGTCTGTTTGGTTGTAATTTTCATGCAATGATCACCCTTGAAAGGTAACAACTGTAGGTACACTGATTTCTTGGGCACATCAGTTGCTATCAGTTTCGTCGTAGTTGTGTTCTGATGACCAATAAACCTTTTTGGGATATCCGTTTAGTTTAAGTGTCTCAGTAATAAGCTTGAATTCGTCGTTCAATGTATCAGCAACAGTGCAGCAGATTCTACTTGCTCGAGCGAATAAAGAGTTTTAACAACAGAACGTTTATATTGTATGGGGCAAAAACTAGTGAAGTGGAGGTACTGTCCCGACCAGGTGGGTTTGCGGTGTGTACTTTTCGTCTGATTGATTTATTTATAACACACACACATACATACATTTATATTAATATTACTTATTTTATAATTAATAAATCAATGATCAATTTCCTTAACTCTTAATTCACTTACTTACAAATATAATCTGAAAACACACACACACATATAAACACACAAAACACACAACAGATATACTACTCAACGTGTTTCTTGCTATTGCTGTAGACAATCTAGCTGATACTGGTCAAATGGAAGAGAAAAAAGACACCGCTGATACAGATGGTGAAAAATCTGATAATAATAATAATATTAATAATAATAAAGACAATGAAATTGGTATTGTTAACAGTGAAAATCTCATCGTAGGTGATAATGAAAAAGAGAAATTGAATATGAATAATGTTGATGTTGATGATGATAATCGTAGACTATTGACTGGAACAATGAATTCCGATAATAAATTTGCTGAAGTACATCATGAATTTAATGATGTGACACAATTATTAGATCAATTGAAGTAAGGCGAATAAAAATTTTTTGTTTTCTTTTGTGTATTTGTGTTTTTGTGAACGGAGTTTTGTTCTCGGTGTGGTTTGGTTGCGGAACCTGCATCATCATCATCATCATCAGCTGTGAAACATGGCCAATGAGAGTAGAAGATACTCGTCGGTTATTGGTTTTCGATCATAGGTGTCTTCGAAGCATTGCTCGTATATCGTGGGACACACGAGTGAGCAACGCTGTTATTAGGATACGGTTACTAGGTAAGAATGTCAGATCAATAGATGAAGTGGTGAAACTTCATCAGTTGAGGTGGTTGGGACACGTGTTGCGTATGCCCAACCACCGACTGCCTCGACGCGCTTTGTTTTGTAGTGTAGGAGTAGGTTGAAAGAAAGCTAGGGGCGGCCAGACCAAAAACATGCAGAAATCCATGAAATCATTGACGAATGGACTTAGCCATGTCGGTAATTGTCGACTACCTGGTTGGGGTCCGCGAAATGATAATAATCGATGTCTAGAGACCTTGAATGACATGGTTCAAAACCGTTCGCAATGGCGCCAGTGCATTTATTCTCTGTGTTCTCTCAAATCTTAATCTTCTGGATTCTTCAACCCCTCTTGTTTTTACTTTCTAAACTTATCTTATTGAATCATACTTCTTGAATAATATCTTCTAATCCTAACCTCTCTGATTACTTCTAATACCCTTACTACCTCTTCTACTATTGGATTTGAATTCACAATTATATCTGTGTGCTGATGTGGTATGGCAACATGAACTTAGTTCTACGTTGCAACTGACTGACTGACTGACTGCACACAAAAATAAGTGAAGTATTCGAATTTCGCCATGTGTATGCCTCGATCTTTAGTAATTCTCATTAGATGTTTTGAACTTATGATGGAGTTTTATTCTCTAAGCTGAATGTACTTTGGTTGACGGGCTTACATTGCTCTTCTTCTGAACAACATTATTATTAGTAAAAAACTTCAGATAGATGAAATGAAGTATTGAAATTTTACTATGTGTATGACTTGTTGCTTGTTCTTGACCTATTTAACCTGTTGTTGTTTACAGTTTTCAATTAGAGTTATGGAGATTAGTGTTTTTACTTATTTGAAATCGTCAATCAATCATTGTTAGATCACCACCATATTAGAAACCTGTAAGCATTGGATAGCCGTTTCGTCCTGCTATGGGACTCATCAATGGTAGGGCGCATACACGATTCCTGTATCTCGCAGGATTCGAACCTGGGACCTACAGTATTGTGCGCAAAATCCCTTGATTAATTAGAGTCAAACATTAACACCGTTGGGTGCCGTCCCAGCAGTGGTTCAGACGTTAGGCGTTCGCGCACAATCTCGAAGGTCCCGACTTTGAATCCTGCCAGACTCAGGAGTCGTGGATGCGCACTGTTGATGAGTCCTGCGCCAGGACGAAACGGCCATCCTGTGCTTACAGGTTTCTAATGATTGTCTAACAATGATTGATTGATGATTACAAAGTTTGCACTTTTATTTTGATTGTATTCTCCTTTGATCGCTATGATCGTGTATGATTTTCTGATTGGGTTGATAAATTAGGTCAATGTGAATGTGTTTGTCAATTACTGATTGACTTGAGTGCAAGCTTCGAAAAATTCTCTAGTGTTCTTTATGTTCTCCCTATCCAGTATTTCAACACTGTTGCAATTGAATGTAGTACGTCCATAGTTGTCCGTATGTATTGATATAAGGGAAGAAATATCATGGCTTTTGATTACGCAAACGAAGCTGAAAACGACGTCCACTTTATCCTATTTAGTGTTTTTTTTAACAGTGTAAAAGAAAATATCACTGTTTCATTAAAGTTTCATTTAGGTGTCTGAAATTCGAAAGCATTTTTTTTCCGTAGATTAATTTGATATTACTTAAAGCCATTCAATTAGTTAGTTTTGATGACAAGTTTAAACTTATTGGTTAGACTATACTCTGTTACAAACCTAACTAGGAGGAGGAGGAGGAGTATTGGGTACAGGGGTTAGCATTTCCACTTTGTAAAAAAAGAACATTATCCTTTCAATTATGTTCACATTGCTTTCCTAAATCTTTTACTTTTAATTCTCATAGAGTTAACCTGTCCATTGTCATTGTACATGTAACAATTGTAACACATCGCATGTTTAGCTGTTTGACAAGTAAACTCATCCACTTGGATCAAAAACCTATCGGATTTTATCTGTGTATAAATTAAATCATTTCTTAAGCATAAAATGACATCTTCGAAATATATTTAAACACAGAGTGATGCTATATTTTTCACCAGAAGCCAAAATTGTGCATATTTTGGTTTCCCTTGAAATTTTCATATTGAATTCTAATGATGGTCTAACCAATGACCGATTCATGGTTTCAATTAAAACTGAACAATCTTCACAACAACCCCCCGTAATGCAATTAATTACCTGAGTTCACTAGTGACTAGCTTCGTGAGGAATCTTCACCGAGTTCTAGTAGTGAGAAGACGTGACCACCAGTGAAGTTCAACCTATTCGGGTGTAGACAGTAACTACTACCGAAGACTGTGTGTATGAGGTTGTGCAACTCCGTGAATTTGATCAAGTTAGACATTAACACCGTTAGATGCTGCCGGCTCAGTGGTCCGATGGTTAGGCATTCGCCTACAATACCGAAGGTCCTGGGATAGAATCATGCAGGGTGCAAGAGTCGTGGATGCGCACTGCTAAGGAGTAGTCCCACACCAATTTCATTTTTCTTAATTGATTCATGCTATTTCTTTGAATGAATGAGTGGATTTCACACCTTCTTATCAACTGGAAACAGCCTAAATTTACATATTATTATTACTATTATTATTATTATTATTATTATTATTATTATTATTGAAAATATTCCCTATTACATCTTATTAATCAAGGCAGTTTTTATTCGAACGAATAGGGAGAAAACGCGAACAAACCAATAAAAAACGAAAACCAAACTCATTTAACACATAATAATACTAATAATAGTTTAAGATGAAATCATTATTTGAAAAAAAAATCATCATCCATGGGTGGAGAAGTGTGATTATGTTAAACGATAATCATTATAAATTATAAATTATTATCATCAATTAACTAGATAATTCACAATAGTCACATTCGAGTTAACATCTTCAATGTACATCATTGGGATTTGTTTTTTTCGACTTTAGTTATAAATTAAAATAAGGAAACAAACACATCATGGTATACTCACCAGCACTGGATGGCTGTTTTTGTTCCGGTTTGAATTTTGTGCAAGTAACAGGAGTGGTAGATGCGTACAAAGATGAAATGGCCATCTTTCACTGAAACTCAACAATTCCCCCCAAACCTATCATTCCTATTTATTAAGCAGTAAGTAGTATACTAGGCAGTTTTGGAAATGTAGATTAATATAAATAATATTGATCTATTTCCATGAATCAGTACTAGGTAACGATGGTAGATCATCAGTTGATGAAGTAGTGCAAATTTATTAGTTGAGGTGGTTGACACAGATGTCTTACGAATGGCTCACCACCGACTGCCTCATCAAGCTATGTTTTGTGGTGTAGTGTTAGGCTGGAAGAAAGCTAGAGGTGTTCACACTAAAACATCGCACAAATTCATCAAGTGACCAACAACTGGACCGAGCCATTTTGGTAAGTGTCGACCACTTGGTTGGGGTCCGCTAGATGTGATAGTAATCGATTGTTAGAGACTCTGAATGACATGAGTCGGAATCGTTTGCGATGGAGCAGGTGCATTCATTGTTTGTATTTTCACTTCTTGTCAATTCCTGATCACCTTCATCTATCTCTTCTCAAATTTATTTTACTGTATTTTACTTCTTGAATGATATATCTTCGAACCTTAATCTTCTCCATTACCTCCAATACTTCTACTACTAGAGGATTGTAAATGACAATTCGATCTGTCACTGTGCTAATAATATATTACGGCAGCTTGAACTATTATACGTACGTACAGACGAAATTGTTTATTGCAACTGATTTAATGATTGCTTTTACATAAATCCATAATATTTAGTAATTACTACTACTCACACTACTACTACTACTATTACTCACACTACTACTAATAATAATGTAGTAAACGAGAACACAGGTGGGGCAACCGAATTGTATTTAGCGAAAATTACAGAGTTACTCAGTAGAAATTGGAAAACCATATCGTAAATCGTTAATTTGCAAATCTTCAATCCATCATCAATCCATTGTCTGACATTTCACTATTCATGCGTTTCATACAAATTCCATTGTGTTCTTCTCACTCTTCCTTTCTTGATCTTCCCTCATCTTCTGCTGCCAGATATTACGTTGACACTCACGTCATATACTACTTATAAGTAGCTCACGCCACACTAGGTAACAATGGTAGATCAGTTGATGAAGTAGTGCAACTTCATTAGTTGAGGTGGTTGACACACGTGTTATGTATGCCTCACCACCGACTGCCTCATCAAGCTATGTTTTGTGGTGTAGGAGTAGGTTGGAAGAAAGCTAGAGGTGTTCACACTAATACATGGCGTAAATTCATTAAGCCACTAACAACTGAAGCAAGTCGTTTTGGTAAGTGTAGACTACCTGGTTGGGGTCCGCTAGATGATAGTAATCGATTGATAGAGACCTTGAATGACATGGCTCAAAATCATTTGCAATAGCACAGGTGCATCCATTGTTTCTTGTCAATTCCTCATCACGACTATTTTTCTCTTCTCAAATTTATTTTACTTTATTATACTTCTTGAATAATATATCTTCGAACCCTAATCTTCTACATTACCTCCAATACTTCTACTACTTCTACTACTATAGTAATGTAAATGACAATTCGATCTGTCTCCATGCTAATGTGTTATAGCAGGATGAACTGATATACGTAGGTACAGACGAAGTTCTTTATTGCAACTGACTTAATGATTGCTTCTACATGAATCCATAATATGTATTAATTACCTTTACTACTACTACTAATACTACTA